CTCAGATAAAGGATCATAAATCAAAACTATGTGATATTAATTGTGGAGTGCCACAAAGGTCGGTCCTCGGACCAAAACTGTTCTTTTTGTTTATTAATGACTTGGTAAATGTATCTAAGACTTTCTGTACCATTCTGTTTGTGGATGATACAACAATTTTTTACTCAGGATCAAATATTGAGGAGGTGGCTAAAGTGATAAATGATGAACTGATTAAAATTAAAAACTGGTTTGATATAGATAGATTGACACTGCATCTTAATAAAACAAATGTTATACTGTTTAATGATAAAAAGAACAGTGATGTGTCATTGGAAATAGATGGATTGAAATTCAAAGAGTAAAAGAAACTAAATTTCTTGGAGTTCTTATTGATGAACACTTGACATGGAAATCCCATATTAGTTACATAAAAGGTAAAATTAACAATTTAAAAAATAAAAAATCGTGCCCACATTTTCAAAGTTAACACACATTTATTTTAACAACGGTAGTTTATGCACAGGTGTGCACATAAGTGGTCTCCAGGTGCGCATGCGCTGTCAAAATAAACAATGCGCACCTGAAAAAAAGCTGCAGCACGCATTTGCGCACCTAAGATTTTGTGGAGGAAGGAAGACATTTCTGGAGTATTTTAAAGATCTCAAAGAAGCAAGCTCCATTAAGTAATTATTTTGGTGTTCATTCGGCTCCAAAAAACGTCAGACTGAGTCAGAACCGCAAAAGAAAAGAGTATTCGCGGAGAAGTGAATGCAGGAGGTCGGCTGGCTTCAAGCAAACGATGAACGCACAGAGATGCAGATTATGCAGTGAAAATCTCACCCTGGCAGACAAAAACAGTGCCTTTTACATAGGCACTAAAAACTTCAATCATTCAGCATTTGATAAACATATTAATAGCAGAGAACATCAGAAAGTTGTTTGGGATGTTAATAATGAAGCTGGACGCAGTCACGACCAGAGGCCCAGTGGTACACACAACAAATGGAAAGACAAGCTAAATGAAGAGCAGCAACAAGCACTCCGCAACGTTTTTCTTTTACCTTTTCACAAAGTGAAACATGGACGTCCTATGCGCTCGTATGAAGAAGATATTCCGCTTCTGAAGAGGCTTGAAGTTAATGTCGGAAATGCGTATCATTCACGAGAAGGTGGAAGCTGGATCATTGAATGCATCGCACAGATAATCACTTCTGATTTAAGAGAAAAACTGTAAGCAGTGGTAGAAACACAAATACACAAAAATGAGACAGGGTGTGCTTCTTTGTGGAAAAGTATTTCTTGACATTCCTTCATCCGTAAGCACACTGCAAGCACAAATTAGTCATTCTTGGCTCATTTCCACTTTTTCATTTTTGGAAGTGAAAATACACAATCTGCACATGTGAAAGCTGAGGAATCATCAAAACAACAACATCTTTTATAGGCATCATAATAAGAACTAGACATTAATGGAAGCAGTTTTTTATATTTCTTAGCAAATTTATTAATATTGAATGTTAAAAAAATAACAGAAATTTGTACATAAAGTGCTTTATCTTGACACAGGTTGTTCATCTACAATAGAAATCTGTAGTTAATAGGCAGGCACACACTGAAACAATCATGAAAGGAACAGATCATTTCTATTCAAGAGTCCAACAGCAATAATCTGGAACTGGTTTTATAAAAATTAGATTAAAACAACATCATGTCTGGCTCCAATAACAAAGAATATTTCATTTCTTTTGATTTAGGTGAAGTCCAAGTAAAACTAGACTGTTTTTGATTATTTAAATATTCATAATATCAAAATAGTCCCAAATGAAACATTAATTATAGCTTTGTTGGCATTTTTATGCCAGCAAAGCTATAATTAATGTTTCATATTTAAGGTGAAAGGCAATAAAAAGGCCTGGAATCAAAAAAGTATTTATGATTTAAATAAAACACATTGTCACAGAATAATGTAGCCTCTCCTTTTGGTTATTAAAGTCAAATCACACATAATAAGTTTCATTTTAGAAGATTAAAAACATCAGCAATAAAAGAAGTGTTTCATTTTCTGCACATGCAAACATGTTTACAATGAAAAATTCGATAATTAATTTCTGAATGAAACATCTGTTCTCATTGAGATGATGCATTATAAGATAATAATACAAGACAGGCTTCATCTCAAGCATTTCACAATAAGATTTGTTACTATAGTAGGCAATGAAATAAACCTGCATGTAAATAATTGATTTCTAGAAAACAGTGGTATACTTGGATCTCCCTTTGAAGCCAAACTCGTAGAGACAATGATTAATAAACATAAGAAATAAAAACTGCAACACTGTTGGAAATATGTCCATGCATATGTCCAATTATCAGTAAACAAAAAAACCTATCTCTTTACAATAATAATAAATTGTGTTTACACTTGAATCTCAGCCTCCAAAAGGCTTGCGGTGTGCGGCCCTGCATCAAGTCTGACCCCCCCAACCCCAGTGTCCGAGACAACTGGGGAGGCGTTGGGGGTTCTGACAGTGAGGGAAGACAGTGATGGGGAGAAATTAGGGGTCATAGCCGATGGGGTAAGTCCTGTGTTCCTGGCTAACGGTGAATAAGCGTATTTGGGGTAGGAGGACTTCCTGCTCATACTCGGTCGAATTGGTTTTCTTGGAGGAACAGTTCTAATGCCAGGTTGAGCCACTCCTGTTATCAGAGGTGGTGGATGCATGAGAGAGTTTGACTCTGCAGTTAAGTCTTCACAGCCACCCTGGTGCTCCTCATCAGGTAGCATACTTATATCTGTGAATACTGAGGCCAGATTTTGGAAGTGTGGCTCCCAGCCTAAAAGGTAGTCCCAGCTGTAGCTGCCCTGCAGCTGCTCCTCAAGGTAAAGCAGTGAGGACAGAGAGTCTGCAGGGGTTTCAGAGAGGGGGGCGTACCCTTTGGTCCCCATGCACTCTTCTAAATCTTTCACCCTAATTGTTGCAGGAAGTAATCCCTCCCCTCCTCCCTCCTCTTTGAAATGGTGGAGACTTTCAATGCTGGGCATACCTGCATCTAAATGTTTATTGAGTGATAAAATATGTTCTGGTCCTAAATCCACAGAATGGCAGGAGCGATTATCTCCTGGTAAGGCAGAGCTGGGATTCTCTGAAGCCTGTTTGCTGAAGTCATCCCCTTTACAGAAGGGGTACTTATTGATCCATTTGATTTCCTGATCTTCAGCTGTCTCCCCCTCTGCCGATCCCCGACCACTAGAATCTGACTGACTGTGGGAGTTTGAGATGGCCCTCTTTGTTTCAAGGTTGCGGGACTGTGTCAACTCTTGCAAAGATACAGCACTTTCCATTTGGCTGTTCTGTTCATGAAATGAGCCCGTATCATGGCTCAAATGTGTAACAACAGCAGCAGCTTTTCTCAGCGTAACTTCTGTAACTTTATACCTGAGAACTAAGCCCATAAAGATGACAAGAACAAACACAAACAAGAGTAGTGAGACAGTCAAGCTAAGCATGTGTGAATCAAGACGAACCCCAGTACGTGCTTCAGCAGAGCTAGAGATGTTTACAAAGACAGTGCAAGTTGTAGTTCTAGAGCCGAGTTTGGGACTGCCTGCAGAAACAATTAGTTCTACCATATCTTGGGGGCCATAGCTGCCTCTCCTACGATATACAGGACCTGACACAAAGATGGCACCAATTGTTTTGTCAATCGAGAAAAACAGTGAATAATTTTGGAGAGAATACTCCACGAGTCCATCTACCCCTCCATCATGGTCCATCGCCATCACATAACCAACTGTCTCTCCAGTCTCTGCGTTTTCTGGGAGGAGGAAGTTATACTGCCTCTGTGTGAAGACAGGACTGAACTCGTCCACTCCCTTAATGTTCACCTGCACTCTCAGTGTGGCTGTTTTTCCTCCGTTGTCTCTTGCTTCCACTACAAAGCAGTACTCATTCTCACGTTCGTAATCAAATGTTTGTCTGGTGTGAATGTCTCCTGTTTGTGGGTCAATGGCAAAGGCCTCCTTACTCTCTGGACTGCCACTTCCATAGTCCACAAAACAGGAGGACAGAATGGAATATGTGAGCTGGCCATAGTGGCCTAAGTCCTTGTCAACAGCATGAACAGAACATGTATGGGTAAATGCTGGGAGGTTTTCTAGCACGGAACATGTGACTGTCTTGAACATGAAATATGGAGTGTTGTCGTTCTCATCCAAAATTTGAATGAAGATGACAGTGAATGCCACCAGACGGTCTTTGGATGCTTCGTCACCATCAGTGGCTTTGATGGTGAGGATATATTTCAAGTCCTGCTCATAGTCTAGTGAATGGTTGACTACCAAAAGGCCAGAGTTGTGGTCAAGTTTGAAGTGGCCTTTTGCATTTCCAGAAATAATGTCATACCTTACAAGGCCATTCGTACCCAGGTCAGGATCCTGAGCAGTGATCTGAATCAGACTGGTTCCTACCTGGCTGTTTTCACTCACTTGTGTGTGGTACTCTGTGCTGGGGAAGATGGGTGGGTTGTCATTGCAATCCGAAACGGTCACCTTGACGACAGCCGAGCTCTTTAGTGGCGGTGTACCTTGATCAGAAACACTTACTGTTACTGCATAGTTCTCAGTAGTCTCCCGGTCTAAAGGGTTGCACAGAACAAGTCTTCCTACATTTGTCATTCGATTTTCAACTAGTATCATTTTCACTTTCAAACAAAATCGCTTTTCCTCATTTCCACTGACAATGGCATAGTCTAAATGGGTGTTTTCAGGGCTCCAGTCTTTGTCTTCAGCAAAAAGAGTTAAAAGGGTAGTGTCTGTTGGTGTATTCTCAGAGACAGAGAGTGTGTAGACATCCTGGTGAAACAAAGGCTCATGGTCGTTGGAGTCAAGAATCTGAATGCTGACAGAGGTGACCGTAGAGAGCATGGGATCACCTCCATCTCTTGCCTCAACCAGAAGGTGGATCAGGTTGCTGTTTGTGATGGCCTTTAAGGGTTTATTGGTGAAAATAGAACCTGCAAAACCAAAATATTTATGAGTAAAAAGTTATTTCAATACAAGTTTTCTGGTTTCTAAAACAAATGTATCTGAATCATATGAAATCCAGTCAGATAAATGAGCTGTTTGCAGAGTTTAATCTAGGGAGGAGAAGATGAAAAGATCTTTAACTTCCAGCTTTGGAGCGATATAATGACCTTTGATTTGATAGACCTCCAGGTAAGTTTAAGGGCGATAACACGGCTCGTACCGAAAGCAACCATCGGACCATCGGGTTGTCAGTCACGTCGAACCGCTAACTTTCCCTGGGTCCTCCACTCGTAACACACTCATGTTTTTTGCATCAGACCACCACTGGTGAGAGAGGTTCTTTGTTCAATGACATCAGAGAAGGAAAAACAACCGGCTGCTACCTCATAAACTTTAGGACAAACTATCAGAGTCCCCCCCCCCCCAAAAAAAAACCCCACCATTTGAAGTCACAGAAAACAATAGACATTTAGACGTAGAAAACAGCCACTGGTGTTTAGCACTATCTCGTTTCCTCTGGTATTGCAGGTTCCCAGTTGGGACAGAAGTGTCTCGGGGAAGGTTACTGAGGGGTGGGGTGATTGCTCTACAGCCAAGTTGCGTTCAAAACCTAGTTTGTTCTGTAGATTCACTATAACAGCTTTAAAGCCTCCATCCATCCATTTTCATCCGCTTATCCAGAGTCGGGTCGCGGGGGCAGCAGCCTAAGGTGAGAGGCCCAGACTTCCCTCTCCCCAGCTACTTGGGCCAGCTCCCCCCGGGGAATCCCAAGACATTTCCTGGCCAGGTGAAAGACATAGTCCCTTCACCGTGTCCTGGGTCTACCTTTAGGCCTTCTCCCGGTTGGACGTGCCCGGAAAACCTCACTAGGGAGGCGTCCAGGAGGCATCCTGACCAGATGCCCGAGCCACCTCAACTGGCTCCTCTCGATGTGGATGAGCAGCGGGTCTACTCTGAGCCCCTCCCGGATCCGAGCTTCTCACCCTATCTCTAAGGGAGAAACCAGTCACTCTTCGGAGAAAATTCATTTCGGCCGCTTGTATCCGCAATCTCGTTCTTTTGGTCACTACCCAAAGCTCATGACCATAGGTGAGGGTAGGAACGTAGATCGACCGGTAAATCGAGAGCTTCGCCTTCTGACTCAGCTCTCTTTTCACCATTTCAGACTGGTACAACGCCCGCATCACTGCAGATGCAGCACCAATCCACCTATCGATCTCACGCTCCAGTTTTCCCTCCCTTGTGAACAAGACCCCGAGATACTAAAACTCCTCCACTTGGGGCAGGACCTCATCCCTGACCCGGAGAAGCCGTCCTTCCCTTTTCCAAATCAAGACCATGGTCTCAGATTTAGAGGAGCTGATTCTCATCCCAGCTGCTTCACACTCGGCTGCGAACCGCTCCAGTGAAAGCTGAAGATCACATTCTGATGAAGCCAGCAGGACCACATCATCTACAAAAAGCAGAGACCTGATCCTCTGGCCACCAAAATGGATGCCCTGTTTTGTGCCTAGAAATCCTGTCCATAAAGGTTATGAACAGAATCGGTGGCAAAGGGCAGCCTTGGTGGATTCCAACTCTCACTGGGAACGAGCCCGACTTACTGCCGGCAATGCGGACCAAGGTCTGACACCGGACATACAGGGACCTAACAGCCCGTATCAGAGGGCCTGGTACCCCATACTCCCGGAGTACCCCCCACAGGGCCCCCCGAGGGACGCGGTCAAACGCCTTCTCCAAATCCACAAAACACAAGTAGACTGGTTGGGCAAATTCCCACGCACCCTCCAGGATCCCCCTAAGGGTATAGAGCTGGTCCAGTGTTCCACGGCCAGGACGAAAACCACATTGCTCCTCCTGAATCTGAGGTTCAACAATCCGACAGACCCTCCTCTCCAGAACCCCTGAATAGACCTTACCAGGAAGGCTCAGGAGTGTGATCCCCCTGTAGTTGGAACACACCCTGCGGTCTCCCTTTTTAAATAAGGGGACCACCACCACCCCGGTCTGCCAATCCAGTGGGACTGCCCCCGATGTCTACGTGATATTGCAGAGCCGCGTCAGCCAACACAGCCCCACAACATCCAGAGCCTTAAGGAACTCCGCACGGATCTCATCCACCCCTGGAGCCTTGCCACAGAGGAGCTTTTTAACCACCTCAGTGACCTCAGCACCAGAGATTTGAGAGGCCAACACAAAGTCCCCAGACTCTGCTTCCTCACTGGAAGACATGTCGGTGGGATTGAGGAGGTGTTTGAAGTATTCTGCTTTAAAGCCTGAAAAATAATAACAAAAATTAATCATCATCAAAGTTTTACAAGTGAACTGTTCATTGGCTAATGTTTGCATGACAACTATATTTGTTTTATTTTGTAGAATTACGTAACAAAATAAAATTGGCCATTGCTACCTGTAGATCATTCTCCAGCGGGCATTACACATGGATCTGACTGTATATGGCAGGCTTCTGATAAAAGCACTAATCATAGTTCTCCATCTGAACACTTTAAGGGCAGAAGTGGTTTATTTGTGACACTCGTTTACAAGAGGTTAGTTATGCAATAACAAAACTTCCATTCTTCCAGGCATGTTTATAGTTTTAACCCACTTCTCAAAATGTAAGAGGATACTTGATTCCAACACAATAGCAAGCATCTGTTTTGTTGTTAGAAACAACAGCTGTATCTGTATTGCAAATTATTTCCGACTTCCTCTCTTCAAAGAGTAACAACACATGCTTGTGTATTCCAAGAGTTACATCAAAATTGCTGTTGTCTTCAGATATCTCAGTGCAACATCAAGTCCACTGAAAAAACTTTTTAAAAAAAACAATGAATTCCATGTGTGGACTGCAAGATCTATTTTCTTGTTGAACGACATCAAAGAGTTCCATCAACCAATTTCTTATTCCACTTCGTTGCCACTTAAACTTTTGAACATGATGACCATATGCCTTCAGAAGCAGCACAACGCTCTGAAAAATGTATAAACATGGAAAAACAGAGAGTTACTGTGTCACAGAATGTTTTCGATGACTAATTTGGATGGTAGTCAGGAATGTTTAGACAGCAGCCATGCAAATGCCCCAAAGCGCAGCTCTCCAAAATAAAACGGATGATTATGATTTTCCCTATATATCAAATTTGCCAGACTGAGGAGGTTTGGTTACAGCCTAGCAGGGCATGTCTTCCTTCTATGGCTTTTTGAAGAGCGGGATAAAAGAGCAGCAGTGGCTTTTCTGAAGCTCTACATCACAGTGACTTCTCCTTGCCCCTCACTGATTTGACTTTAGAACATAAACTATATGAAATGTTCTGCTGACAGAAGATAAACTCTCAGTAACCTCTTTCCCTGAGCTGCTGACAACCAAGCAGCAGCTGCAAAGACAGCGTTTAATTTTATTCTTCTGACTAATCATGAAGGCTAAAACAGACCAAAACACGTGAAACTTAAAGGCAAATTGTGAAGTATTTTTACTTGTTTACTTTCAAACACGTCATTCTTCATTGATATTTCATTCTCACCATAGTCTAGTCTAAACATTTCTATTAGCTTGAAATTTTACATTTTTACATACATAAACTGTGGTCGATGCTCCATGGTCATGTGCCATCTTGAAATACTGGGACATACAAGCAAGGCACAATGTTCCACGTTTCGCATTTGCACTTGACTTGAAAGTTCTCCTCCACCTTCTCAACGTTTTCTCTGCAGCATCCTTGCTGGTTTGGGGGAACTCTGCTCCTTCTCTACGGATTGCTCGCCCTACTTTAACTGTCAGTAATCGCTGGATTGAAATCTGGAAGTAATTTAAAACTGTGGCGGTGCACCCACGGCCGCGGGGGAGAAGGAGACGAGTGTCACGGCAAACACATTAGAGGCAGCAGGCTCGCGGTAGATACGGCAGCGCTGGAGCAAGAAGACACAGTTGCTGCAACTGACTGATCAGACCCACTCTACACATATTCACAAGACACGGACAAAGAGCCCTCTAATCCCTGAGACTGCAGGAAGTAGAAGAGCAGCAGAAACTGTAAATAAAACATGCAGATGGTTGAAAGCTGTTGTGTGATGTTTTCTGTGTGTGACCTCCAAAGTAACGGCCAGTGCTAAAATGTCTCAGTGCCAGCACTGCCACAATGACACATTGCCTTTGGATGCATGTGGGCACTGTAGCTGCAACACCTACTTTGAATCGAGTGGTTCTAAGAATTTTACTGGGTTTTAGAAGAACAGGTGTTAAAATATGGCCCAAAAGTGCCACTTTTTGAATGAGTACCTCTGAAAAATCTCACTTATAATCATGAAATTCAGTTCACATGTTCAACAGCCCAGAATATGAACAAAAAGTCACTTGGCTGTGTGACATGAGCCAGAAGTCGGGCATTGTGGACCAACAATACCAGATTCTTATTTTTACACACACAAACCATTCCTGACTTCAGTTAATTTGTAATTTTTACCAGTGTCTTGTTGGATGTAGAAGCCCTGAAGAGGAGATGAAAGTAGTCTGTAGCTGATGTTTCCATTGAGCCCAGAGTCTCTGTCGATGGCTGACACAGACACAACTAAAGAGCCTGCAGTGACCAGCTCTGATAACTCCACCTTGAAGAAAGAACCAATCACCAGTTAGGTGTGCTGCAGCAAACATTACATCCAGGGTTCAGATCTTAAGTCAGGATTGGCATTAAAATGTAATATTGGAAACAAACAGTATTGTTTTTTTTTCTTTCTTTTTTGTGACACAGCTTTTACATATCATGCACATTTCATACATTAAACTCTTGAGCTACATCTCCTCACACTCAAAATGTCCAAGTATGACAGATATGAGGTAACGTTTTAGTGACATTTTTGATTGTTTGGCACAGCTGGACCTAACTTAAATTGAAGAAGTTGTCATATTTTTCACAGATAACGTTTTAAGTTTAAGTCATGATAGGAGATGGGATTTATTGTTAGTGGATTTAGTTTTTCTTTTTGATAAGGGAGGGACCCAGCATGTATTGCTATTGTTTTTTTTTATCTGTAAATTAAGAGTTAGACTATATTGGTGTATTGGACATTGGTAAAAAGAAAGCAGACATTGAGCATCCCTAACTAGAACATAAACGTATGTTTCTACCAGGTCTTAAGTTTAGGTGAAAAAATATTACAGACATAACGCTGTATAAAGTATAAACTAAAATGTGAAAAACTATTCACATTTTAGTTCTGTAGGAATAAAATAAAAAGCAACAGACGGATCCTGCTAATCAAAAACATAAATTAATGGATCATCAGCAAATATGCATCCTTATAAGAAACTGTTCCTCAGTCTGTTTAAAGCTTTCTGGTGCATTAGAGAGAGCTTTTTAATTCAGTATATATCGAAGATGTGTTAAAGGGAGGAAATGAAGTTGTTAAATTCTAAACTAAATGATAAGTTTCACGGTTCCGCCGACTCAGCCTCCCCAGATCCATCATCTCCCCACCTAGGACTCCAACACCCAGCATTCCCCATTCCCAGATCTTCCTGCCCACGTCAGCCCAGAATCAATTTAGCCATATCCGCCAACGCCATCAGCATTCAGTCATCATTCTGTGGTGGCTCAAGTTCGAATCTGCATGCCGACTGACCCGATCGACCGACTCACCTCAACGAGTAAGTCAGTCTTATTCCTGAGTGTCACAGCGACCTCGCCTAGTGACTCCTAGATTAATGTCTAGTCCGTCATTCAAGCCTCAAAGTCTGACAATAAGTTCTTCATTAATGCCATAAACCTTCAAACTTATTTATTTAATCGTACCTGATAGGAAGCCTGAGTAAAGACAGGAGCATTGTCATTCACATCAAGCACTTGAACTTTGACCCCTCCAGATGCCCAATGGACTGAGTCTGATGCCCACACCGTCAGCATGTACTCCACCTCCACTTCAAAGTCCAGAGCTCGAGTCAAAGTGAGGACTCCAGTGTAGCGGTCGATGGCAAAGGGATCACTCGTGCTGCTGTTGTCTGGAAAGCTGTAGGTAATGGTTGAGCCCAGGTCAACATCATTCGCAGTCACCAGAGTGACCAGGTAACCTGCTGGTAGATCTTAGGGGGGAACATTAGAAAAGGTGGATTAAGCTTCATTTTGGATGTTCTAATGAGATTGTGGAACTTGAAACAATATGGATATGATTTAGATTTACTTTCAGCTATGAAGACAGGCTCCATGGGGGGGATGGCAGGGCCATTGTCATTGACGTCCACCACTTGGACCCTAACGGTGGTGGTGCTGCTGAGAGGTGGCCGTCCTCGGTCAGCTGCCTGCAGAACCAACCTGTAATAAAAAGATGATGATGTTCATTCAAGTTTTCAAAATTTCAAAAATGGCAAGCAGAGCCTGACAGATGCTCTGTTGCAGCTTAAGCACACTGATATTTTATTTCATTCTGATTGCACTCATATGATTATCTTATGAGGAAAAGTTAGGAAGAGCACCGTCTCCTGGATCAGGATCTGGGGATTCCTTCATACGGATGTAATCTGTGGAATTCTTCATGCTTATTTACAACGTGTAGATTTTATGACATGCACTTGACTCAACTATAAGTCACTTGTGATCAGTTTAAAACATGTTTAAATGACAGATTAGTGTGATTTAATGCAGGTTGGAAACAGTGTTAAAGTTCAATGCAATGTGTTGAACCTACTTATATGAGGGAGTGATCTCACGGTCCAGTAAAACGTTGGTAGCCAGGATTCCTCTGGCGGAGTCCAAAATAAAAGCTTGGTTTGTATTTCCAGACAGAATGGCGTACTCTATCTCTCTGTTTATGCCACTGTCAGCGTCAGATGCAAAAATCTGCACAAAAAAGAGAAAATGATCTGTGGATTCATCGTAAACTTTACCAAAACAAACAAAAGGACACAGCTGTTTAGTGTACCTGCATGATGTACGTGTTGTGAACTTGGCCCTCCCAAACAGCTGTCCTGTAGCTGCTGTGCTCAAACTGCGGTGCATTGTCATTGACGTCCAGCAGGGTGATGGAAACCCTGCAGTGAGCCGTCTGCATCCCGCTGTCAGCAAGTACAACCAACTGGATCTGAGGGTTTGCCTCGAAATCTAGGGATGAGTCTTTCTGCACTCGGATCTCACCTGAGTCAGGGGGGAACAGGACGGTGAGCCGGGAGGAGTTTAAAGTTGTTACCAGATTAGGATTTTCAGTTTCAGACATTAGAGTATTATTTTTGGAGTATACTACACCGCTCAAAAAAATAAACAAATAAAGTGAACACTTAAACTTAAAGGCAATTAGAAAGACATCCCTAATAAAAGAGTGGTTCTGCAGGTGGTGACCACAGACCAGTTCTTAGTCCCTATGCTTTCTGGTTTTGGTCACTTTTGAATGCTGGCGGTACTTTCACTCTAGTGGAGGCACGAGACGGAGACTGCAACCTACACAACTGGCTCAGGTAGTGCAGCTCATCCAAGATGGCACATCAATGCAAGCTGTGACAAGAAGGTTTACTGTGTCTGTCTGTGTTGTCCAGAGCATGGAGGTGCTACCAGGAGACAGGCCAGCACATCAGGAGATGTGGAGGAGGCTGTTAGGAGGGCAACAACCCAGCAGCAGGGCCGCTACCTCCGCCTTGGTGCATGGAGGAACAAGATGAGAACTACAAAACGACCTCCAGCAGGCCACCAATGTGCATGTGTCTGCTTAAACAGTCAGAAACAGACTCCATGAGGGTGGTATGAGGCCCCATCGTCCACGGGTAGGTGTTGTG